TTCAAACTGTTTAGCATTATTAACGTGGACAAGGGCCGCAAAAAATTTTAATATAATAAGGAGCGGCGAGCTCAAAAGATGATGTAGATCATAGAAATATACTCTAGGAAATATACTAATGTCATTGTTTTTTACAAATTTGAAACATTTACACTAAACAAACATAAACATATCTGAGGTTTAATATAGATCAGTCTATTTAATTCTTTTGCTTATTTTGTCGCTAGTTTGAAGAAGTATAAAATGCATAGATATCTGACGACTTGGTGATATTGCAAGTTAGTACTTGTCTAAATTCAAAGCCAACCAATATAGGTTGTAACAATTTTCTCAAACTAGATGGTTTCAAGCTCTGAGTTCACTACCAAGTGGTTGTCTGCAAAGTTGTTCACCGCCCTCAATTTTTTTTGTAAATCCCCAATATTAGATTTCAAAGTCGGATGTCAATCATGATTTTATAAATGAAGAAGCTTTCAGTGCCCTTGGTTCACTTTCAAGTAGTGTTGGAGTTGATGAGCTCATCATGCGGAATTGCCAATTAACAAAAACCAAACTTGATGCTTTTGGGAGCCATTTGGCGAACTATGGTGTCTAGTCGGTCAGCAATCTATGTCGGTCATGGGCATATTAGTTTTGTTTTTGGGAAAAATCTTTAAACGATTTTCCGCGCTTTGTCACATATTGTAATGACCATGAAATAGAATCGGAACTTTGTTTATCTTCTGTGCAAGCTAGCGCCTCATATTGTTGTGACACCTTTGCACAATTGCGAGATTGGTATTGCCTCTATTCCCTTGCAAGGCCTCTTCTAATTGACACATTTGTTTTCATTAATTATGAAAATCCGTAATTGTTATGATACCCAATAAATTGTTGCAAGTCCAAATTATTAGGAAATAATAATAACATATTATAATTAATATAATACAAATAACCACTTTTAAGCAAGAAACTACTTTTCTTGATGAGCCAGAAGCCGGTATCTGTTCCAAAACTTCTGGATGGGATTTAAAAATGAAATCTCATTGATATTTGAAATTCATTCATTTATCTATGTTTCAGTTATCCAGGTTTGATATCAGTGAAAACCCAATGAATGACAAAGGCTTCAATGCTCTTTGTTCCGTTTTAACAACAAATAATAAAGTTCTTGCCCTTTTCATGCAGAATTGCCAAGTAAATGAAGAAAAATAAACCACCCTTTTTCAAATTTTGAAAAACTGAAAAAGTCGCCAATAACGCATGCAATCGCATTTTGCTAAATTCGTCGATTGTTTTTGTACATCGCATATTATTCCGCGATAAACGCTTTTAACGTTGGTGTTTAATCTCTCTAAAACACAAATCATCCTCAAAATTGTGCCATAATAACGATGATAATCACCTAATTTTTGTACTCGCACAGAATTGTGAATCTGGTGAGAGTTACAATACGTTTATCGGCAACAAGGCAAATAAAGTGGTGAATCTATGAAGCAAATTATTTGATTGAAAAGCGACAATATAAATTACTGAAAATAGGAACGTAAACAACAAGTTCTGTTGTAGGAGGCCCGCGACAATCTGAAATGCTTCTCTAGGCGTTGAAAATCACAAAATTATGTTGGTTAAGCGTTGATAATAATATTGTTACTAAAACCGCAAGGTGAAATTAAAGACATTTTAACTAATAAAGCAAGACAATTCAAACAAGCCCATATCAATCATGGTTTGATTACTTTGCACGAAAGAAAAATCATTATTCGTTGAAAAAGTCGGCTCTTTTAACAAGTCCTGCATTCGAGGCGACTGTTCCGCGTGGATTTCGAGGCGATAAATATGTATTTTTAATTTACTGCTGAAATTTATATGTAATTTTTTTTGTACGAAATTAAATTGTACTTTTCTGGATTTTATATCAGATCTTGAGATTTTTAAAACGTAGATAACGGCGCAAAAAAACGTATCAATACTAAATACAAATGGGCAGTTTATCTCATGCTTTTTATGTCCACAGATCGCGGTGGTGTTTTAAAGTAGTGATGTTCTTATTTTGACGTAAGAAGACGCAGCCTCAAGTTACATTAGACACAATTCAATTAATATATAGGGATATTTTGAATTCTTGTAGTTGTCATGGATTGAATATTTTTCATGACAGAAAACTCATTATACGCTGAAAAAGGTGGCTCTTTTAATTTCCGATTTTGAAACCCCTTCCCCCTTTGAAAAATTCTGGCTGCGCGCCTGCATGTCATGATTTAGGAAGATATCTAGATCAGGCTTTTCAACCGTCAAGCATCTCATGGTGGCCCGCAATGTGGTGCACACATGCACAGAATATTAAAAACAATCAAAATTCTGATTCTGTTTCATTGTCATTACAATATGTTAAAAAGTGCAGAAAATCGTTGAATGACTTCCCTCGAAAATGAAACACCTAGCTGACGGCAAAAAAAGGCTATCATTCGGGATTATTTGAAAATTTGCCTAAATGGTTGGAATACTTTGATATTCAAATATATTCGAATACTCGATTTGTTTTGGACAACCCTGCCTCGGCTTATTTTGACCACTGGAAGAAAACGTAAATAAAGGTGGTCCCCAAAGTAAAATTATTTGTGAAAGTGGGCCGTGATATGAAAAAAGTTGAGAAGCACGAATCTAGATCATAGAAAAGTTATCTACTAATGTCATTGTTTTATTCTAATTTAAAAAAAATACATTAAACAACCATATATTTATTTTAGGCTCACTATAGATTGAATCTTTTTAATTCTTTTACTCATTTTAGCTTTAAGAAACAAAAAATATTAAGATATGGCTTGGTGATATCGCAAGTTGGAAATAAGCTAATCAAAAGCTTACAAATTTGAGTTGTAACATTTTTTTGCACTTAGTGGATTCAAGTTCTACGTTCACTACTAAGTGGTCGTTTACATAGTTTTACCACCCTTAATTTTTATGTAATTTTCCAATATTAGATTCCAAAGTTGGATGTCAGTCTAAATTCAATGAATAAAGAGGCTTTTAATGTGCTTGGTTCACTTTCAAATAGTGTTGGAGTTGATGAGCTCATCATGCGGAATTGCCAATTAACAAAAACCAAACTTGATGCTTTTGGGAGTCATTCTGGATTAAAGGTATGATATAGATCAGGGGTGTCAAACTTGTGGGTTTTCGAGGGCCTTATTGCATTTTGGGAATTGTGCAGAGGGCCGCAAACAGTTTTTGATATATTTTTATAATGTATACGCCAAGCATATTTTTAAATCGGTGTAGTTTGTGACATTTATTTTCATGTAATTCAACTGCCGAATAAAGTTTTGGTATTTCCCTCAAATTTTAAATGCCAATTACATATTAATTTCTTGCATTTCACTATTATTGTAATTTACTGTATTTATTACAAAATTTTTATATTTAACCATCCAAAACATTTTTAACAAACTTTTGATAAAAAAAGAATAATACATACACCAAAATTAATTTTACATACTAAATAGGGAAATTTTAGGTCTATATAGGGACCTCCAGAAGTATGTGCACCAAGATGGCGCACAACCTGAACCCTAACCTGGTACACATATTATGTTGTCAGCAATAGGATAGGAATTGCATCTTTTTCCTGGGAGAGAGGAAGGCCAATGAAGCGGCCTAATCATATGGCGGACCACGGACTCTAATCAGATTACCAGATCATGTCGGTTATGGGATTGGTTAGTTATTTGCTCAGACGCATGGACTTGATGGTGGAGGAAGTCCCAACCGACCTGCGGTTACGTGAACCACCCTACTACGGTGGCAAGGAGTCCAGTAATTCTTTCACACATAATTTTTCCTCACAAGATTCAATCCTGCGAACCACGCAGTGTAATCAGAGATGTGGCGACAAGCGTACTTCTAACACTTAGCATGATGGGCTACATTGACAATCCTAGTTTTCTGACCTAATACCTATTATTCATGCTCCCTTCGCATGACAGTAACAGAGTCGTGTAACATAAGTCATCCTCAGCAGGTCGAGCAAAAATATTTTATATCTTCAGTAATATATTAAGTAGGAATGTAAACATAAACTTAACACAGATGCAAGATATTATCTTATCTTCATTTTTATTCGAACTAATTGATACACTATATTTACGCCCAGTTTAAACATACCAAAGTAACACTGTGAAACATATGATGAGAATTTGCTTGCTTAAAATAATGTAAACTTTTGATGTTGGTTTTTATCAATCGTATCTGTCACAATTTTTAAAGAAAATTCAGATATGTAATCTTATTGTTAGTTAACTTTCATTTCTATGTTTTCAGCTATCCAAGTTTGATATCAGTGAGAACCCAATGGATGAAAAAGGATTCAATGCTCTCGGTTCTTTATTGACAGCAAATAATGACGTTATTGACCTTGTCATACAAAATTGCCAACTCACAAAAGAAACACTGGACGCTCTTGGAAGTCACTCAGGATTAAAGGTTTTGTTATTTATTACTGGTTGATCTATCATTCAGCATTTCTGCCAAACTAGGTTGCGATGTAGAGAAGATAAAATTGATCTTTTTCTTCCGCTATTTCACTTTTTATTTATAGTATTTGGAGTGAGAAGCAAATATTTTCATTTGTATTATTTGTTAAGTGCTGTTCATGAAAAAATCTGCGCAATAACCTAGCAATAACCCAAGCATGTCACACACTCTTTTTGATAGAAAAAATAGCCTCTTATCGCTGGCTATGTCTTTGACCCGCTGAAGCTCGACGGTGTAACTAATAGACTAATAAATTGTATTAGAGTATGTCACTTTTAATATTGCTTGCTAATATTTACTGAAAATTTCACCATTTAGTTAGAAATATTATATGAAATCTTGAATATAAACACGGACCTGTGACAAAGTTTGTCATTTTAGAATTATTTTGACGAGAGTCATAGTGTTCCACAGATTGCTGGCATTGATATGAAGTTTTATCTTTTATTTTCAAAGTTTCCTCCCAATAATCCTATTCGTTTTAATAGATTTCCACTCTGGATATCCGATCAATAACCGGCATGACATTCAATCTATTTCTTGCAATATCCAAGTTTGCAAGTGAAAGTGAGGTCAAAGAACTACTGATGGACCCATGGAAAAGGTTTGAAGCAACTAAAGATCAAATAATGGAATTGAGTAAATGGAAAGTCTGTGGAAAGGTTTGTAACATATTCATTGAGACTTGGAATATGATAACGAAATTATTGCCTAATCCATTAAATATGTTGTAAATTTGTTGATAAACCTTGGATCTCACTTTATTGTACAGAGTGTATGTGAATTTAGTGAATTGATATCCAGAGAAGGTCAACCCCGAACCATTGTTTTTTTTACATTTTCAAATAATATTTCGAATAAATTTTAAGTTTCGATTTTCCAGTTTTTTAGAATGTTTTTATTTGATATTCTAGTAAACAGAAGGTTAAAAAATCCTGGATTGAGAAACATCAGATACTTCGCATAACATCTGGCACCGATTAGGCAAAAAATGAAATGATAATAAATAAATGATAAATTTTCAAAATGAATATTCAATTTATTTATGAATTGAAGGACTAATTTAAATATTTATTTTAGTTGGATGTACTGAATGTCAGTAACAACAAGGATCTTGGCACTGCTGGTTTTGGTAAGGTTGGAACAGTTGTTTCAAAATGCCAGGTGAAGGAATTGCAGGCTCGAAATTGCAATCTGACAGCAAAAGAAATAAGAGCATTCAAGGAAAACTCTCGTAATGCCAAGGTAAAGATCAGTTTATATACCTGACCATATATCTGCTATAATTTTGATTTTTTGCTGAATTATGCGACATTATTACTTGCTTTTCACATGGAACAAAGCTCAGTGTAAGCAGCCATCGATGAGTTTGGCAGATCTAAATATCTTGAGTTCAGCATTGCCCACACAATTTATCAAACCCTGTGGTGGTGGGCATGGGAGTGAAATTTGAAAATTTTATTCTGTGATTCAATGGATATTTTTCCTGAGCTTCGGTACTTTGTTTATTACTGTAACAATGACCAATCACTAATAAGTCAACAATAACGTAACAATTGCAATATATGCAGCCGCTCAAGATGCTTCTTTCGCCCAGATATATATTCAGCATGGTTGTGAATGTTGCCTCATTTTCATGGGTTTGCGTGTTATTTGTCAGTTTTCTGTTGTTCCAAAAAAAAGTACTTAAAACTCATTTTCTGGTCGTACTATTTCATTTGCCCATATTTTATATTCCAAATTTATTATTGAATAATCGCAAAACCAACCATGAAAACAAATTTCACTCAAGTTTGATTCGTCTTTAAATAACCGCTTGCCTAGATTAACACTTTGGCAACAAATCATATTTGTTAGTGTTTAATCGGACATTCACTACAAAATATTTTGATCAAAACAACACGCCTGTTTCATAATTTGACTGCCGTTGCATGAGCCATATTATTGTGTATTGTCGGTTTACAGGCGTAAAAGATTGGGAACCGCTGTTTCTGCTTTATCCATGCAATGACAGTCCTGCTTATATATCTGAGTGACTGTTCATACTTATTGGATGCGAAGGTTTTCTGTATTGAAGACAATGCATTCATATCGCCCACTGCATTAACAACTCCCTAAATAGATCAACTTAAACGAAATTCCATATGAAAAGTCAAATACACTATCTTTCCTCTATTGTGAGCAAATATTTTTTCAATAGAATTTAACAATATTTTGATATCAGATTTTATTATGAGACATTATCACATGCATTTTGCTAAGAACAAAGCTTTGTGCAAGCAGCCTTTGGTGAGTTTTACGGGCCGAAATATCTCAGGCTCAGCATTGCCCATACAATTCAATACACCCTGACGTGGTGGTGGGCATGGGAGCGGAATCTGAGAGTTTTAAACACTATAATGCAATGGATATGCAATATGTGCACCCGCTCAGACACTTAATTTGCTCAGACAAATATTCAGCATAGTTGTGAGCATTGCCTTTTTTATGGTTTTGCACGTTATTTGCAGTTTTCTGTTGTTTCAAAAAAAAAACTTAAACTCATATCTCTGGTCGTGATATTTGATTTGCCCATATTTTCTATTCCAAATTTATTCTTGAATGATTGCCAAAGCAACCATGAAAATGAATATCACTCAAGTTTTATTCATCGTGTTTTAATTATAACCGCTGGCCGGAATTAACGCTTTGGCGAATAAACCTATATTTTTTAGTGTTTAATTGTATGTTTGGTTGATCTCAGTCCCCATGGTAATGATTGGTAACCATTGTTCCAGGCTCTATCCATGCAGGGACAGTCCTGCTTATATATCTGAGTGACCGTCGTTAATGTTTGATGCGAAGGTTTTCTGTATTGAAGACAATGCATTGCTATTGCCCACTGCAATAACAACTGTATAAGTCAACTTGAATAAAGTGACCCTTCAAAAAGTCAAATATTGCTTTTTTCTATTTTGTATGTGAATTTTTTTTCAATAAAATTTTACAAAATTGGTCTCTGGTATTCGAACAAGCTTAATTACCAAGAAGACTTTTCTTCATGTAGTGTATATGTCTTAATTAACAAAGAAAATTTTAATCAGCTATCAGATTTTGATTGGGTTACATTTTCCATCAAAACAACAGACAGTTGAATTTTTGATGAAAAATTTGTCCATTTTGATCAATCAGTTTGTAAAGTTTGGTTTTTTCATTTCTCATACTTTTATTTCCTATCACGATCACATTTTGTGACCGAGTTCATCTACATTAGTTCAGTGATCTTATTTATTTCAGTTGGATAAACTAGATGTCAGTCGGAATGATAGTCTTGGAACTGCTGGCTTTGGTGAAGTTGGATTAGTTGTTTCAAAATGTCAGGTGATTGAATTCAGGGCTCGGGATTGCAATCTGACAGATGAAGAAATGAAAGCATTCAAGGAAAACACTAATAATGCAAAGGTAAAACCAGTTCACATACCTGAACATATATTTGCCATAATTTAGAAATGTCAAGTCAAGTTTATTTTTTCAACCAGTAAAAAATATCACAATCATAAATTATGACAAAAAAAATAATTTACTTACTGGGGAAGAGAAGTCGCGACGAACCAAACTGGTTATCGAGCAGCGAAACCAAATGTTTTGGAGATTGCTGTATTATACGACATTATCACATGCTTTACACTCCTAACAAAACTCTGTACAAGCAGCCATTGATGAGTTTGACAAACTGTAATATTTCAGGTACACCATTGCCCCACACTATTTAACAAACCATGAGGTGGAGGGCATAGAAATGGAATCTGAAAACTTTAATCTGTGATGTAATGGATATTTTTCCCGAGCTTCGATTTTCTTGTTTATTTCAGGAACAGTGACCAATCTCTAAAAGGTCAACAATAACGTAACAATTTTTTCATAAACAAGTTGTTTATTGAATATCTTAAATGTCGTTATAACTTCCTACGCACTCCAATTTAATGCAATAAAAATTATTCCCTGAAAATCTACGATAGACTGGGCATAAATTAGCTAACAACCTGTTTAGAGCTATCCATGCCGCTAACAGGTTGTCAGCTAATTTAATCCAAGTCTATTGTAGATTTTCTCTAAACCAGTTTGTAAGCGCCATATCTCCAAAACAATCCCCAATTATGGATCACAAATTTTGCAATACTAAAGTATATGAACAATTTTTCGGAAATATCTATATCTATACAGTAATGACCAACGCTTATTAAAATAATTTGTAAAGTGTATGCGTAGTGATTTTCTATTCAGCATTCCTGTCAAACTAGGTGGCGAGCGACTTTTGTCAGCAACTTTTTTGGTCTATATTTTCCCATTTGTTCTCACTAGGTAGAGATAAGGATAGGGTAATATTTGGTACTCTCAGATCTTTTCAAAACTCATATTCTCTTCTGTTTATAGTCATTCGACCATGTAGTCCATTTCAAATTCATTATTGAACGATTGCCAAACCAACTATAAAAACAGAACTTCTTGCAACTCAAGTTTGATTCATTGTTTTTAATTAACCGCTTGCCGTGATTAACGCTGTGGTGAATAATCATATTAGCTCATGTCTAATTGGTCATTTGCCACAAAACATTTTGATCAAAACACCACATATGTTTCATTCATTTCAAAAATTTTACTGGTTGTCTGTGATTCATATTATTTTGAGTTGTCAGTCCGCAAGGGTAAAAGGTTGGGAACATCTTCTCTAGGTTCTATCCATGCAATGACAGTCCTGCTTATATATCTGAGTGACTGTTCATACTTATTTGATGTGGAGGTATTCTGTATCAAAGGCAAGGCATTTCTTTCGCCCACTGTAATAACAACGATACATAAGTTTAACCTAAACAAAATGCCTCTTAAAACGTGAAATACCCCTTTTCTCTTTCTACATGTACACGAATATAATTTCAAATAGAATTGGTTGCTTGTAATTGCAAAAAGCTTAAGTAGTAGGAAACTTTTTCTTCATGTAGTATATATGTCTTAATTAACGAAGAAAATTTGGATTAGCTATCAGATTTTGATTGGTTACATTTCCATCAAAACAACAGACATTTGAATTTTTGATAAAAAATTTGTTCATTTTGATCAATCAGTTTTTAAAGTTTTCTTTCTTCATTTTTCATACTTTCATACCCTGTCACGATCACATTTTGTGACCGAGTTCATCTACATTAGTTCACTGATCTTATTTATTTCAGTTGGAAATACTAGATGTCAGTAGGAACAAGAATCTTGGCACTTCTGGTTTTGGTGAAGTTGGATTAGTTGTTTCAAATTGTCAGGTGAAGGAATTCATTGCTCAAGATTGCAATATGACAGCAGGGGCAATAAGAGCATTCAAGGAAAACTCTAGTAATGCCAAGGTAAAGACCAGTTCATATGCCTGACCATATATTTGCTATAATTTCAAACTTTTTGCTGCATTATCACTTTTTTTCACTTGGAACAAAGCTCAGTGTAAGCAGCCATTGATGAGTTTGACAGACTGAAATAGCTTGGGTTCAGCATTGCCCACACAATTTATCACACGGCACGGCGATGCGGCTCATCTCGCTGACCGATAGGAATACGCCCGCAACCGCACCTCTGATTACTCTCCGTGATTTTGCAGGTTCGAATCCCATGTGCGTATAGTTATGTGCGAGAGGATGCTGGACTCCTCGCCGCCGTTGGATGGTTCACGTAACCGCTGGTTACGGCTCCCTCCACCATCAAGTCTGTGCTTCCGAAAACAAGTAACTAACTAATCCCATACCCCACATGAAATGGTAACCAGCCGAGGGGCCGTGGTTCGCCATATTGTTAAGCCGTCTCATCGCCTTTCTTCTCCCCCTGGATAATTATCTAAAAATTATCCTAATTATCCACACCCCTAGGTGGTGGGCTTGGGAGTGAAATCTGAAAATTTTATTCTGTGATTCAATGGATATTTTTTTGAGCTTCAGTTATTTGTTTATTACCACAACAATGACCAATCACTAATAAATCAACAATAACGTAACAATCACAATTTGTGCAGCCACTCAGACAATTCTTTTGCTCAGACAGATGATCAGCATGGCTGTGAACATTGCCCCATTTTCGGAGTTTTGCGTGTTATTTGTCAGTTTTCGGTTCTTTCCAAAAACCTCTTCCGGTTATAATCATTCTCCCACGTAGTCCATTCCGAATTCATCATTGAATGATTGCCAAACCAACAACACGAACAGAATTTCTTGTAACTCAAGTTTGCTTCATTGTATTTAATTAACAGCTTATCGTGATTAACGCTGTGGTGAATAATCGTATTTGTTGGTGATTATTCGGACATTCGCTGCAAAATATTTTGACCAAAACAAAACGCCTGTTTCATAATTTGACTGCTGTTGCATGAGCCATATTATTGTGTATTGTCGGTTTATAGGCGTAAAAGATTGGGAACCGATGTTTCTGCTTTATCCATGCAATGACAGTCCTGCTTATATATCTGAGTGACTGTTCATACTTATTTGATGTGGAGGTATTCTGTATCAAAGGCAAGGCATTTCTTTCGCCCACTGTAATAACAACGATACATAAGTTTAACCTAAACAAAATGCCTCTTAAAACGTGAAATACCCCTTTTCTCTTTCTACATGTACACGAATATAATTTCAAATAGAATTGGTTGCTTGTAATTGCAAAAAGCTTAAGTAGTAGGAAACTTTTTCTTCATGTAGTATATATGTCTTAATTAACGAAGAAAATTTAAATTAGCTATCAGATTTTGATTGGGTACATTTCCATCAAAACAACAGACAGTTGAATTTTTGATAAAAAATTTGTTCATTTTGATCAATCAGTTTTTAAAGTTTTCTTTCTTCATTTTTCATACTTTCAGACCCTGTCACGATCACATTTTGTGACCGAGTTCATCTACATTAGTTCACTGATCTTATTTATTTCAGTTGGAAATACTAGATGTCAGTAGGAACAAGAATCTTGGCACTTCTGGTTTTGGTGAAGTTGGATTAGTTGTTTCAAATTGTCAGGTGAAGGAATTCATTGCTCAAGATTGCAATATGACAGCAGGGGCAATAAGAGCATTCAAGGAAAACTCTAGTAATGCCAAGGTAAAGACCAGTTCATATGCCTGACCATATATTTGCTATAATTTCAAACTTTTTGCTGCATTATCACTTTTTTTCACTTGGAACAAAGCTCAGTGTAAGCAGCCATTGATGAGTTTGACAGACGGAAATAGCTTGGGTTCAGCATTGCCCACACAATTTATCACACGGCACGGCGATGCGGCTCATCTCGCTGACCGATAGGAATACGCCCGCAACCGCACCTCTGATTACTCTCCGTGATTTTGCAGGTTCGAATCCCATGTGCGTATAGTTATGTGCGAGAGGATGCTGGACTCCTCGCCGCCGTTGGATGGTTCACGTAACCGCTGGTTACGGCTCCCTCCACCATCAAGTCTGTGCTTCCGAAAACAAGTAACTAACTAATCCCATACCCCACATGAAATGGTAACCAGCCGAGGGGCCGTGGTTCGCCATATTGTTAAGCCGTCTCATCGCCTCTCTTCTCCCCCTGGATAATTATCTAAAAATTATCCTAATTATCCACACCCCTAGGTGGTGGGCTTGGGAGTGAAATCTGAAAATTTTATTCTGTGATTCAATGGATATTTTTTTGAGCTTCAGTTATTTGTTTATTACCACAACAATGACCAATCACTAATAAATCAACAATAACGTAACAATCACAATTTGTGCAGCCACTCAGACAATTCTTTTGCTCAGACAGATGATCAGCATGGCTGTGAACATTGCCCCATTTTCGGAGTTTTGCGTGTTATTTGTCAGTTTTCGGTTCTTTCCAAAAACCTCTTCCGGTTATAATCATTCTCCCACGTAGTCCATTCCGAATTCATCATTGAATGATTGCCAAACCAACAACACGAACAGAATTTCTTGTAACTCAAGTTTGCTTCATTGTATTTAATTAACCGCTTATCGTGATTAACGCTGTAGTGAATAATCGTATTTGTTGGTGATTATTCGGACATTCGCTGCAAAATATTTTGACCAAAACAAAACGCCTGTTTCATAATTTGACTGCTGTTGCATGAGCCATATTATTGTGTATTGTCAGTTTATAGGCGTAAAAGATTGGGAACCGATGTTTCTGCTTTATCCATGCAATGACAGTCCTGCTTATATATCTGAGCGAGTGTTCACACTTATTTGGCGCGGCGGTGTGGCTCAACGGGCTAAGCGTTAGGAATACGCTCCCCACCGCACCTCTAATTACTCTGCGTGGGTTCGCAGGTTCGAATCTCATGCAGGGATGGTTATGTGCGAGAGGATTGCTGGACTCCTCGCCGTCGTTGGGTGGTTCACGTAACCGCTGGTCGGTTACGGCTTCCTCCACCAAGTTCATGCTTCCAAAAACAAACAATATAACTAATCCCATACCCGACTTGGAATGGTAACCGGATGAGAGGCCGTGGTTCGCCATATGGATGAGCTGTCTTATCAACTTTCCTCTCCCCGGGATAAATATGTAATTCCTATCCTATGCAAAGGTTTTCTGTACTGAAAACAATGCATTCATATCGCCCATTGCATTAACAACTGGATATATAAGTCAACTTGAACGAAATTCCATATGAAAAGTCAAATACACTATCTTTCTTCTATTGTGAGCAAATATTTTTTCAATAGAATTTAACAATATTTTGATATCAAATTTTATTATGCGACATTATCACATGCATTTTGCTAAGAACGAAGCTTTGTGCAAGCAGCCTTCGGGGAGTTTTGGGGGCCAAAATATCTCAGGCTCAGCATTGCCCATACAATTCATCACACCCTGAGGTGGTGATGGGCATGGGAGCGGAATCTGAGAGTTTTAAACACTATGATGCAATGGATATGCAATATGTGCACCCGCTCAGACACTTAATTTTATTAAGACAAATATTCAGCATAGTTGTGAGCGCTCCAATTTAATGCAATAAAAATCATTCCCAGAAAATCTACGTTAGACTGGGCATAAATTAGCTAACAACCTGTTTAGAGCCATCCATGCTTGTTAATTTAATCCCAGTCTATCGTAGATCAGTTTGTAAGCGCCATATCTCCAAAACAATCCCAAATTATGCATCACAAATTTTGCAATACTAAAGTATATGAACAATTTTTCGGAAATAAATATATCTATACAGTTATGACCAACGCTTATTAAAATAATTTTCTAAATTAGGTGAATATTAAATGGAAATTTTAATTATACAAATTCAACTCTGAAATTGTGACATAATATCAGAAATTAACTGTTGAAAAAAATAAAATAAAACTGAAAAATAATGGATTTTATCATTTGTATAAAGTTTTTGAGAAATTTATGTATGTGAAAAATAATTAATTGGTCGAGAGCTTGAGTCACTAAATTTCCTGGAAGCTTCACTTCCAGCTAAAATGATAGGCTTGGCTCCAGCTCCAACAAAACATCACAGCTTCGACCCTTTTTCGCAGTGCTTAGCACAATTGGTAAATCGTTGAACTGAGTGATATCTTAGTAATTATCTTACGGTATATTATTTGGGGTAATAGTGAGTGTATAAAGGCTTTTATTAGAGAAACAGGCAAGAGAAAACAATACAATAATATTCTTAGCAGTTTCACAAATCACTTGAGGCGGCGTGAAAATGTTTTTATCTTCTTGGCGGTTATATTTTTGCCATTTTTCTTGTATTCTCTGATAACACTTCGCACTGCTGATTTTGGTTAAGTAGGATGGCTATTTTACAATGTCAGATGGATAAATATTCAATTTAATTAATCGCTTGCGGGATTATAGCTGTGGCAAATAATCGTATTTGTTGGTGTTTAATCAGACATTCACTACAAAATATTTTGATCGAAACAACACATCTGTTCCATTCATTTCGAAAATTTGACTGGTCCATGGGCCATATTTTTTTTATGTTGCCAGTCGGCAGGGGTAAAAGGTTGGAAACTAATGTTGGGAACAACTATTCTATGTTTTATCCATGCAATGACAGTCCTGCTTTTATATCTGAATGATGCGGAGGTTTCTGTAGTTAGAGCAATCTATTTCTATTGCCCACTGCAATAACAACTGTATATATAAGTCAGCATAAACAAAACGCCTCTTAAAAAAGGCAAATATCCTCTTTTCTCTTTTGTAGGTGAATATCATTGCAATAGAACTTAATAAAATTGTTCTCTGCTAATTGAAAAATCTTAATTATTAAGAAACTTTTCCTGCAGTATATATGTCTTGCAGTATATATGTCTTAATCAACTTGATTTTATTTCAATCAGCTATCATATTTTGAATCAGCCATCTGTTGAATTTTAATAAAAAATTTGTCCATTTTGATCAATCAGTTTTTAAAGTTTGCTTTCTCCATTTCTCATACTTTTATCCACTGTCACGATCACATTTTGTGACCGAGTTCATCTACATTAGTTCACTGATCTTATTTATTTCAGTTGGAAATACTAGATATCAGTTCGAACAATATTCTTGGCAATTCTGGCTTTGGTGAAGTTGGATTAGTTGTTTCAGATTGTGAGGTGAAGGAATTGCATGCTCGGAATTGTAATCTGACATCAGAAGGAATGAAAGCATTCAAGGAAAACACTCGTAATGCGAAGGTAACAAACAGGTTAACGTACATGCATGCTCATTTCCAACATTGCTTGTTAAATTTAGCAACCTAAGTGCAGTGGATGTTTATATCCAATCCAATATTTTCAAAGCATTTTTCGAATTGAACATACTTTCGCCTTACTATTATTTGTAGCTTATTTTTAGCTGGTTATTTTTGAGGTAGGGCACAAGACTTGACAAATTCTAAAAGGAGGCACAGCTCCTTTAAAAACCATTGCCTTAGGGTATTCTTGTGATGAGCCCTAGATAAATTTAACAATTCAATAAAAGAAAACGTGGTTTGACTTTTTAATATTTGTGAGTAGGATTACCAAGAATCAGATACCAATTGCGGAAAAAGCGTCAAATTCTATTTTATCAGAAACTTCTAGATTCACGCAAAGAACAATCATCTTCCGTGATAAATCTTCCATGTCAATCTCAATGGATTCTAATGAAAACGTCCTGAATTCCTTTATCCTTGCTCACTCCCTTAATAACCAATATATTCCAATATCTACCTCAGTATCAATACCCTAACATTATTATATTTTACTTAAACTGTTACCTTTAGCATTTAATAATTGGTGTAATCTGGACTACAACTTGGCAATATTTAGGCTCTTCATGGGGGAATGAAGCCCATCTCTTCATGCACCAACTTTGGTTGGACAATGGCAAACAATTCATATTTTTATTTAAAATTCTTATTTTTTATTCTAATTTCTTTTTTACTCATTTATTTTTTTGTTTGTTTACTATAAAATTCATCTAAAGCTTTTTTTTATAACTTCATTACAGCCTTGCGGTTGTGTGTGTGTGTGTGGATATATTCAATAAATTAAGATGAGTGAACACATACCAGTTCTTTTTGGCAATACCTTCTTCCATCTCAAATTCTGTACTTTATAAACCTTATCTAAGCTTTTATTTGCTCTCCTGATTTTATAATCAGTTTTTGTTATTATCAATCATTTAATCGCCTTTTATGCTGATTATGAAGTTGACATAAACTTATCTTACCATGCTTGTATATCTAAGTGATATTCATAACAGATCTCTCATAATTCGAAGTACTCTATTACAAATACATCTTGAAAGATTATTAACATTATTTACTAGCAAGCTTTTGTCTGCTTTAGGCATGAATGGGATTTTCAATATTATTTGAGGGGTTGAAGGGATTGTCAAAGTAACTACCGCGAGATACCAAGTCAGCAGAACCATTTAAATACACGATTATTATTTAACTTGTGACACTAATTAAAAAATAGTTTTGAAACTACTAAAAATATTTTGATCAAAACAAGTCAGCTTTTTCATTCATTTCGAAAATTTGATTGCCGGTCCATGAGCCAAATTATTTCGTGTTGCCAGTCCACAGGGTTGAAAGGTTGGGAACAACTATTCTATGTTTTAACCATGCAATGACAGTCCTGCTTTTATATCTGAATGATGCGGAGGTTTCTGTAGTTAAAGCAATCTATTTATATTGCCCACTGCAATAACAACTGTATATATAAGTCAGCATAAACAAAACGCCTCTTAAAAAAGGCAAATATCCTCTTTTCTAGGTGAATATCATTGCAATAGAACTTAATAAAATTGTTCTCTGCTAATTGAAAAATCTTAATTATTAAGAAACTTTTCCTGCAGTATATATGTCTTGCAGTATATATGTCTTAATCAACTTGATTTTATTTCAATCAGCTATCATATTTTGAATCAGCCATCTGTTGAATTTTAATAAAAAATTTGTCCATTTTGATCAATCAGTTTTTAAAGTTTGCTTTCTCCATTTCTCCTCCTTTTATTCACTGTCACGATCACATTTTGTGACCGAGTTCATCTACATTAGTTCACTGATCTTATTTATTTCAGTTGGATAAACTAGATGTCAGTTGGAATGATAGTCTTGGAACTGCTGACTTTGGTGAAGTTGGATTAGTTGTTTCAAAATGTCAGGTGAAGGAATTGCAGGCTCGGGATTGCAATCTGACAGCAGAAGGAATGAAAGCATTCAAGGAAAACACTAATAATGCAAAGGTAAAACCAGTTCACATACCTGAACATATATTTGCCATAATTTGGAAATGTCAAATCAAGTTTATTTTTTCAACCTGTAAAAAATATCACAATCATAAATTACTACGAAAAATAATTTACTTACTAGGGAAGAGAATTCGCGACGAACCAAACTGGTTATCGAGCTGCAACACCCAAATGTTTTGGAGATTGCTGTATTATACGACATTATCACATGCTTTACACTCGTAACAAAACTCTGTACAAGCTAAGTATATCTAAGTGATATTCATAACAGATCTCTCATAATTCGAAGTACTCTATTACAAATACATCTTGAAAGATTATTAACATTATTTACTAGCATGCTTTTGTCTGCTTTAGGCATAGATGGGATTTTCAATATTATTTGAGGGGTTGAAGGGATTGTCAAAGTAACTACCGCGAGATACCAAGTCAGCAGAACCATTTAAATACACGATTATTATTTAACTTGTGACACTAATTAAAAAATAGTTTTAAAACTACTAAAAATATTTTGATCAAAACAAGTCAGCTTTTTCATTCATTTCGAAAATTTGATTGCCGGTCCATGAGCCAAATTATTTCGTGTTGCCAGTCCACAGGGTTGAAAGGTTGGGAACAACTATTCTATGTTTTAACCATGCAATGACAGTCCTGCTTTTATATCTGAATGATGCGGAGGTTTCTGTAGTTAAAGCAATCTATTTATATTGCCCACTGCAATAACAACTGTATATATAAGTCAGCATAAACAAAACGCCTCTTAAAAAAGGCAAATATCCTCTTTTCTAGGTGAATATCATTGCAATAGAACTTAATAAAATTGTTCTCTGCTAATTGAAAAATCTTAATTATTAAGAAACTTTTCCTGCAGTATATATGTCTTGCAGTATATATGTCTTAATCAACTTGATTTTATTTCAATCAGCTATCATATTTTGAATCAGCCATCTGTTGAATTTTAATAAAAAATTTGTCCATTTTGATCAATTAGTTTTTAAAGTTTGCTTTCTCCATTTCTCCTTTTATTCACTGTCACGATCACATTTTGTGACCGAGTTCATCTACATTAGTTCACTGATCTTATTTATTTCAGTTGGATAAACTAGATGTCAGTTGGAATGATAGTCTTGGAACTGCTGACTTTGGTGAAGTTGGATTAGTTGTTTCAAAATGTCAGGTGAAGGAATTGCAGGCTCGGGATTGCAATCTGACAGCAGAAGGAATGAAAGCATTCAAGGAAAACACTAATAATGCAAAGGTAAAACCAGTTCACATACCTGAACATATATTTGCCATAATTTGGAAATGTCAAATCAAGTTTATTTTTTCAACCTGTAAAAAATATCACAATCATAAATTACTACGAAAAATAATTTACTTACTAGGGAAGAGAATTCGCGACGAACCAAACTGGTTATCGAGCTGCAACACCCAAATGTTTTGGAGATTGCTGTATTATACGACATTATCACATGCTTTACACTCGTAACAAAACTCTGTACAAGCAGCCATTGATGAGTTTGACAAACTGAAATATTCCAGGTTCAGCATTGCCCACCCTATTTAACGAACCATGAGGTGGGGGGCATAGGAATGGAATCTGAAAACTTTAATCTGTGAAGTAATAGATATTTTTCCCGAGGTTCGATTTTCTTGTTTATTTTAGGAACAGTGACCAATCACTAAAAGGTCAACAATAACGTAACAATTTTTTCATAAATAAGTTGTTTATTGAATATCTTAAATGTCATTATAACTTCCTACGAGCTCCAATTTGATGTATTAAAAACTGTTTCCAGAAAATCTACGATAGACTGGGCATAAATTAGCTAACAACCTGTTTAGAGCCATCCATATCTCCGTATCTCCAAAACAATTTCCAATTATACATTACAAATTTTGCAATACTAAAGTATAGGAACAATTTTTCGGAAACATCTATATCTATACAGTTATGACCAACGCTTATCAAAATAATTTTCTAAATTGAGTGAATATCAAATGGAAATTTTAATTATACAAATTCAACTCTGAAATTGTGACATGATATCAGAAATTAACTGTTGAAAAAATAAAATAAAACTGAAAAATAATGGATTTTAACATTGGTATAAAGTTTTTAAGAAAATTATGAATGTGAAAAATAATTAATTGGTCGAGAGCTTGAGTCACTAAATTTCCTGGAAGCTTGGCTTCCAGCTAAAATGATAGGCTTGGCTCCAGCTCCAGCTCCAACAAGACATCACAGCTTCGACCCTTTTTCGCAGTGCTTAGCATAATTGGTAAATCGTTGAACTGAGTGATATCTTAGTAATTGACTCATATTATTTGGGGTAATAGTGAGTGTATAAAGACTTTTATTAGAGAAACAGGCAAGAGAAAACAATACAATAATATTTTTTGCAGTTTCACAAATTAATTGAGGCGGCGTGAAAATGTTTTCATTTTTTTAGTGGACTATATTTTTGCCATTTTTCTTCTATTCTCTGAAACACTCCGCACTGCTGATTTTGGTTAAGTTGGATAGCTATTCTACATGTCAGATGAATAAATATTTAATTTAATTAATCGTCTGCCGGGATTGAAGCTGTGGCAATTAATCATATTTGTTGGTGTTTAATCAGACATTCACAACAAAATATTTTGATCGAAACAACACATCTGTTCCATTCATTTTGAAAATTTGACTGGTCCATGAGCCGTATTTTTTTGTGTTGCCAATCCGCAGGGGTAAAAGGTTGGAAACTAATGTTGTAGGCTCTATCCATGCAGTGACAGTCCTGCTTATATATCTGAGTGACTGTTCATTTTTGTTTGATGCCGAGGTTTGCTGTTTTGAAGGCAATGCATTACTATTGCCAACTGCAATAACAACTGTATATAAAAATTAACATTGAATCAAATGTTTTGGACGTTGATGTATTATGCAACATTATTACACGCTTTACGCTCAGAACGAAGCTCTGTGAACGCAGCCTTTAATGAGTTTGACAAACCGAAATATTTCAGGTTTCAGCATTGCCCATTCAATTTATCTCAACGCTTAATAAATTGAATTATTCAAAATAAAATGAAAATTTTATTTATATAAATTTGAAAATTAAAGTTATAGAATAATATTAATAATTAATTATTGAAAAAAAATTTAAAACTGAAAAAGGATGAATTTTTTCATTTGTATAAAGTTTGTATGAAAATTATAAATTGGAAAAAGAAATTAATTGGTTGAGGGCTGGAGTCACTGAAATTTCTCGAAGCTGCGGCTCCAGCTAAGATGATAGGCTTGCCTCTAGCCTAGCGCCAACAAGACATTACAGCTTCAACCCTGATTTGTAGCGCTTGGCACAATTATCAAATCATTGAACTGAGTAATCACTTGTGTGAGCGTGTGGAATATTTCAATTATTTTAGGTGAGTGAGCACGTTCCACTTCTGTTTGGCAAAACCTCCTATCTTATATACTGTACGCTTTAAACCTTATCTAAGGTTTTGTTTGCTCTCCTGATTTCATTTTCAGTTTTTATTTATTTGGGTTCACCAATCATTTTTGTGGTCTATATTTTTGCCATTTTTCTATTCTCTGATAACACTCCGCCCTGTTGAATCTGGTGAAGTTGGATAGCTATTCCACAATGTCAGATGAGCGTTTTTTTGCCAAGTCTTCTAATCTGACATGGAAGATAGGCTTATTTATCTTTGCGTTTATATTTCCTGTCTCTCTGCATTGATTCTCTAATGAAATTGGAGTTAGATATAGAGTTAGTATTATTGCTCCACAATGTCAGATGGACAAATTTTTTGATAGGTTTTCTAATCTGCCTGTCAAAGTACCTGAAGTATTCGAGGAAAATTCTGAAGTAGAAAACCGACCTATATGCGTGCCAACCATGACCTATATATCAATTCATAAATATTATATGATAACAACATGTATCATTTCAGATCGACAGCTTAGATCTGAGTTGGAACCAAGTCAGCAAAGTCGGAGATGAAGGATTATCTACAACCAGTGAAATTGTTCGTAAATGTCAGGTTAAAAAATTGTACATGCGGTATTGCGAGTTCAACGATGATCAGTTGGAAAGATTCAAAGCATTGATTGCTGATACTGGGGTTGAGTTCGATGGCTTCTAGTGAGTCACAGACGCCGTATCCGAGGATGATTTTATTGGAATATTTGATTTAAAATTATATTAGTTCCACATTTCTTCAGTTTGTCTGTCTGAGATAATCACTTTTCGTTTTGTTTCAAAATTTTCGAGCAATTTGTTTTTAATTATTTTTTTCAATCCTGTCTATAATATTTAGCAAGTATGGTACCGTGTATCGCATTATGTCTTATGAAAATTTCATTTGATTTTCATTTATTTCATCAAATATTTCAGTCAGGGATTCCGAATAATTAACTAGTTGCATACAATAAACAATGGAATAACTGCAACTCTACAACCTGGCTATTTGACCAGACATTTTTTGCCCACGGATTGCCGTGTTAGACTTTTAATGCTTTTATATTTTCGTAAGTATGAAAATACGAATCAAAAATTAATTATCGGGCAGTTTACCACACTTTTTATGTCAACAGATGGCCGTGAAATTTTAGAGTAGTAGGCTGGCTAATGCTTTTATTTTTAACCATGAGTTATGTTGAAAAGAGCAAAATTAATACGGCAAGGCATTTTAAATGCTGGTATCAGTCATGGATTTGAATATTTTGCTCAACAGAAAATCATCCTAATAAAAAGTTTATATTTTCAAATATTTGCCAAAAAGCAAAAAAAGTATGAATTATATTTTCAATAAATCAACTTGTTTTTTCCGACTTGCGACAATTTTTTGGGTATCGTAACAACTGCAGCTTTACATAATTTTCAAATTTTCGACGTAATGCAAATGAATGCGTATCTAAAAACACTATGTCGCTGGAGAGGCAACTAGCAAAAATTATAAAATACCATTGAGCGCTAAACATGGAGTAGCAACCGAATGCTGGGTGTACGCTTGACATAAATGATATTCCCCAATACAAGTACCAATGTCAATAAAAATACTTTAATAGATGGAACCATTTTTGAACAAAGATGTAACATCTCTTCCTCAAGGCTGGTTTCAAGCCGATTTTTATCAAATCAATAAATCTTTTATCAAATTGGGCCCTGCGCTAGTCTTTTCCTGTATTATTTATCTGTATTATGAGGTACAAAATACTGCTGAAAACGTAAAATATAAAGTGAAATAATCTTTCTCATAATATTAATTTGTTATGCATGGTAAATTTAGTAAATTACCGTTATGTCGCGATTAGCAATTAAAAGACTCAACAGTTTGTCAATGCTTCCTAAGGAAAGCAAAATTGCTGAAGCTGTTGATTTTAAATGAATTTTCTAATAAAATGGCTGAAAAATATTTTTCTGAAAGAGTATAATGAAATTGCCTATTTTGCATTCCTTGATGTTAAAAGTAAAACAATAAAAACATCCTATTACCTTAAATTTGTTTTATAGCAAAGTATTAAGTAAATATTTATTTTTTTTTATATAAAGACCCATAAATTTCGAAATGAAGAGTGGGGGCGCCGTCATCAGATTTCTAATTGGGCCCCGCAGTTTCTAGCACAGGCCCCGTTCTTTCATTTTCTACAAGAATTCTTTGTCTTCATTTTTTTCGTTATGACTTCAACCCCATATAATTTTCGGAATTACCCAAGCCTCAACTCTGTGCTCAAATCACACAGCTTTTTCCTACATGTTTAAACAAAATTTATTTTAATAGGTTCACTTTTCTCCCCAATTTGCAACGAAACTTAACTATACGAAAACCTGCAATTGCCAAACTAACTACGGCTTTGCCCTGTCAGGTTAGGCTACTATATTAGTACAATATACATGCATAGCCTTCTATTGTTCATTACGCGCTTGCATTTTTTAAGTACAATTCTGCTGTCCAAAGATAAAATTATGCGTGAGAGAATTGCTGGGCTCCTTGCCATCGTAGGGTGGTTCACGTAACCGCTGGTCGGTTACGGCTTCCTCCACTATAGAGTCCATGCAGCTGAAACAAATAACTGGCAACTAATCCCAACATGGACTGGTAAATAGACTAAAGGCTGTATGATTAAGCCGTCTCGTCGGCTTCCACCGCAGTCCTATCTAATTCTAGGCAAGATTTAGACATAATTAACTGATATGTTGAAAATAAAACTCATTTAGCTTCTGTATCTTTCAATAGTAAAATTTTTCAAACTGCTTTTCCATTTCTTAGGTTAAGTTAGGTTAGGTTAATTGCCCGTTCTTACTAATTTATTGGCATCCGTTCTTCACTTTCCTGCTCGGCAAGTGATTGCTTTGTGAATCGAGATGTTTGCTTAACAGAAGCTAGCTGGTAGAGCATTATAACGTCATAAGTATAGATAATAAATTGGACTCGGGTATAGTAGGCTTTGCGACGCAAAAAGGATTGAAATTGCTCGCATGTATCAGATTGAACTACATTTTAAAACCTTGTTTCGCGGACCGCCACAATTTCAAAATTAGAACGTACAATTTTTCCTTGAGGACAGCATTTCGCCCGCGGGCCGCAGTTTGCACTCCCCTGCTCTAGTCGATAATATGATAATCACTAAATATCCTCTGATTACCCAATGCTGGTTCGCATAACATGCGGGTTAATTATCTGCGAGAGGATTGCTGGCCTCTCGAAGTCGCAGGGTGGTTCATGCGCCCCTAGTCGGTTACGATTTCCTCATATGAAGCAAATAACTTGCCAAATAATATCTCACCGTTTTGTCTGATAAGGACGAGAATTGTTGAGACATCTCATCGGTTTCCATCTCTCCTGGGATAAATATGAAAATACCAGTGGCGGCGCGTCAATAGGGCCAACCGGGGCAATGCCCCGGTTGTTTTTTCGGTATAATAAAAAATATTCGAAAAAATACCTCAATATCGGTTGCACAGACTGTCTACACTAGCCATATTCTCCCGACATGGTTCATTTTTCGCTCGCAAAGCCTTCGCCGAACGTCGACGGGGCGACGCCGATTTTGCCCCGGTTGCTCATTGTATATCGTATTATCTCTTTTATCTTCCACTCGCCGCGTTTGTCTCGTTTGTTTTCGTTTTCTTTTACTGAATCATCGGGGCTAGCCCCGAAATTATGACGACACAATGCCGACGTTTCTTACAACAACGTGTTGACATATTCACGCATTCCTTCTCGTTCGTTGGTTCTTGAAGAGTTGATAGTTTCCTCGCCTTCGTTTTTGTCGCTTGTTTCGCTATTTGAATCAGTTAGAGACCTTTAGTCCATTTGCTTTCGATTTTCCACATTCCTTTTGAGCTCCTCACTTCTTTCCGGCTTCGCATTTCTTAGCCTTAGAGCTCATAATGAATAAGGTTGATGCACTACTTCGCACTCCGTTTTCGCAGCTGCCGCTGGAACAAAAATTAGAGGTACAACGTCTTGGGCCTTATCAACCAAAAAATTGTTCACTGGAACAATCCCATGACGGAGGAAAGCGTCGGCGTACATTCTGCGCAGAAACTTGGTATAAAAAACACGAATGGTTGTGTTACAGCGTGGACAAAAATGCACTTTTTTGTTTTTATTGCCTACTTTTTGCTACCGCCCGTGACTCACGTTGGTGTAAATTTGGTTTTAGAGATCTTAAACATCTTTCCGAGCGTGCCAGGGATCATCAATCTTCTATGGAGCATCTGGACAATGCAGTAAAATACCGAACATTCGGAAATGTTAATATTGCAGCACAGTTGGATGAAGGACGCGCGGTTTCTATTCGTCGGCACAACCAAAACGTCGAGAAAAACCGCCATGTTCTCGGTCGATTGATAGATGTTTTGAAGTTCATTGGTTGTCACGAGCTGTCCCTCCGTGGGCACGATGAACGGGCTGGCTCTTCTAATAGAGGGGTATTTTTGGATATGGTGGAATACACCGCATCCCTAGATACAGTATTGAGAGATCATCTTGATGCCGCAACTGTTTCGAAAGGGACATCTAAGGATATCCAAAATGATTTGCTCGACTCAATGTATAAAATTTATTTACAACATTTGGCTCTGGAAATTGAGAATTGCCAGTTCCTTTCGATTCAGTCTGACGAGACAACTGACATCACGTGCGTTTCCCAACTGGCTGTGATTTTTCGGTTTGTGAAAGATGGTAAACCTACCGAAAGATTTCACAGCTTTGTACCAATCGTTGATCGCACGGCTTGCGGGATATCGGCTGTACTGAAAGAAGTGTTACAGCCTTACAACGCGAAGTCAAAATTGATAGCTCAAACTTATGACGGCGCGGCAGTCATGAGTGGGTCGAAACATGGTGTTCAAGTTTATATAAAAGAAGATTTTCCTCATGCGCATTTTTTACATTGTTATGCACACCAATTTAATCTCGTTATTAAAAATATGTGTCTTGATACCCCTCTCGTCCGTATATTTTTTGCAAATGTTTCGGGGTTTTCTTCATTTTTTTCCGTTTCGCCGAAGCGCTCTGACCTCCTTCGCCAGATATGTAGCCGCCGTCTCCCAGCTTGTGCACCAACACGTTGGAACTTCCAATCACGCGTGGTGCAGGGCGTGTCCGAAATTAGGTCTGAGCTCATTGAGTGTTTCAATGGCATTCAGAGCTCTCCGGTTTGGGACGAACGCTCTGTGAGGGAGGCGGCAGGTCTAAAGCGTCTGCTAGAAGATGGTGAGTTTTCATTTTTTCTCCACAATATTCTATCACGTGGATGTATTATACGGCGCATTGCAGTCAAGGCTAATGGATGGAGCGTCTGTGCAGTCGTGTATTTCAGACTTCTGCGATGCTGTATCTCGTATCCGGGAAACAATAAAATACGACGACACATGGAGTGCTTCTTTACGCCGCGGGCAAACAACGCAGCGTTTGATTTTGTCTGCAAAGGAATGCTGTGACACTCTGGTGAATCAAATAGGCGATCGTCTGCGCACTAAACACCTTGCCGCGTTCTCTTTGATGAACCCCAAAAATTTTTCAAAATTTGCACGTCAATTTCCCATCCATTTGTTGGCTACTGTCTCCAAATTTTACCCCATGATAAACGTGGGTAAATTGGAAAATGAATTGCGATGTATATACACCAATCAAACTTTTTTGAACATCACATCAACTTGCGTGCTCTATGGGTTCCTCATAGTTAACACTCTAGTAAGTACCTTTGCGGCGTCTGCAAAATTTCTGGACATCATTTTGACGACGCCTATTTCTTCCGCCGACGCAGAGCAGACATTCAGCACGCTGGAGCGTATTAAAACGTATCTCAGAAACACAATGAAGCAAGATAGATTAAATTCCTTGGCTGTTTTATCCATTCACAGAGACGTTATTTCTGGGATGCATGACTTTAATCAGCGCGTTATTGAGCATTTTGCTTCCAAGAAACCGCGGCGTGTTGCATATATGTTCAAGCAGTAGAAGTCTAGCAGCATATATATCTATGAGTGAGCGACGCATGTCCTTATCTTTGCATTAACTTTCCTTTCTTCATATTAACGTTTTAAACCTTATTTTAGGTTTTGTCTGCTTTCCCGAAGTTTCTGTTAATATGTCATTGTATTTATCTGGGTAAATATTGCCTTTCCTTTTGAAAGAGGTTTTGAAATAAACTATGTCTATATTTATTAATCCCTTGACTTGGACCGGTTTTAAAGACACTTTCTTATCGTTAAAAATTGTCGCTTTTGCCGATTGGTTGTTACCGATGGAATGGTTTTAATACTCATAAAATGATGGGAGAACTTACAGCGCTCATCCTGTCCTCGTAGATGGGGGTGACTTGGTCCCGCAGTAGCTTGCCCCGGTTGTCAAAATGACCACGCGCCGCCACTGGAAAATACTGTTTAATGAGCGAGTCTGGTGAAATGCCACCAGCGTCAATAAGCGCCATATAAGTCGCAAGCAACTTGTATCATTTCGAAAAAATACAATAAATTTTAAAAAAATCGTAATATTCTACGTTAAGCGATAAATTCCGGACACCGAAAACACTAGATCAAGCGATGATGGAGGAAACCTTAACCCAGTGGTCGGCAACTTTTTCCGAGTGACGCACCGGTAAAGCCTGACCAAAATTTTGGTGGACCACCTTCATACAAACGGACTAAGCCCATGCAATAAATTATACGCATTAGGAAATTTAGGTTGACAATATACTAAATACGACGGTGATGCTATTTAGTGCGATATCTGCATTTGTTGGCTGGCGATTAACTGTTCCAGGCCTCCATTAATAAGATTTCGGGAAAGGTATCAATGCCTTCTGATCTGGTCTGGGTATTGATTGATGTTTGTTTTGCCATAACAAATTTTTTTACCCGATGTGCTATATGTGTAAAATTATCCGGATTCTGAAGTATAGATTTAGCACTGACTAGACATGACCAGTTAGCTACGAGCAAGTAATGGAGTCGTCACGTTATTAGCAATAATTATGTTGTTGGAGATATCTTATACAGACTGATGAAAGACACTCTTATACGGGCGCAGTGGGAACAACTGCCCAGCATTATTGCGGCATACTGACATAGTAATTGTTTGTGAAGTCAGACATGCTGCCCCAGTCCGTTGTGTTTGTCTGGTTTGCTGTTGGGTGCTGTTTTTAGTTGTAGGGTTTGTGGTTAGATTGTAGAGATTTTATTATGGCCTTGTCCGTTTTTGTGTCACCTCTCTGCGGACCGGCGATGGGCCACGGCCCGGTGGTTGCCGACCACTGTTTCAAACGACCATCGGTTACGTGAACCACCCTATGCTGAACTCTTTGCCATCGTGGGGTGGTTCAGGTATCCGCTGGTCTGTGACGGCTTCTTCCGCCATCAAGTCCATGCATCGGAAAACAAATAACTTGCTAACTATGTCCAACATGGACTGGTAAATGGAATGATAACCGGACGAGAGAGAGTTATATTTAATATTACAAACAATGTCATGATACATTTGGAGCAACAGAAAATAAAATTTAATTTAACAATAATTGGTTGATCATTATTTTGAGGGTCAGTATGAAAGACCGGTTAGGTCACCGAGGCTCCTGGCCCGTACCCCTAACAGTACCGTAAAATCAATAACGAAAGGAAAAAATTTTTTGTGCTTGCAACTTCAGTAAAAACTTTACCTACGTAATTAATTCGTCCCGGAAGCACCTCCGTAGGTACAAAATTCCATACATAAGTAGGGACGCACACTACCTGTCAATAACCTATTCCGTTCTAAGCCCCGAAAAAACTCGGACATTATATTTGTATAAATTAAAATAACGGTTAAAACCCGTAACAAATACATGTTAAAATTGGATTACTACATGCTAAATAGAAAGGTACACGTGGAAAGAAGGAAGAACAGAGAAATAACGAATAAAAACTACGAACTATATACCTATAGACTAGGGTGAGCAACCTTTTTCGGCTCGCGTGCCAAAATCGGCTTAATTTAAACAATGACATTAAACAATGTTTAACCCTTTCCGTGCGGTGGGCACGTATACGTACCCACGACAAAACTCGCTAGATTGCGGCGGGTACGTTGATGTACTCCACTGTTTTATTTAGCAATCGGTCGCAAACTGTTGGTCTAGTTTTTCCGGGTTTCAGTTTATTGATAAGAAGTCTTCTTCGAGATTAACATAAGCGACGATAAATCTGGCTTTCGTTTACCGTGGGAATTTTATTTGCGGTGGAATGAGGGAGTGTTTTTTAAATTTATGCAAATTTCGGTGTTTTTTGGGTGGTAATAGAAGACATATTATCCCTTTCATCTACCAAAGTATTTTGAGTTAGATAGCGAAATTGCTACAGCAATATTATGCTATTGTTTGCCAACCAAGAAGCGGTAACAGTAAAGGATTTAGCGAATATTTCTATTTTTTATTACGGTTTGAAGTTTCAACACCCAAGAAAAATGATGCCTTTTTTCTATCCGGTTTGTGACTCAGACCACCCCTTTTAAAAAAAAATTTTTTTTTTAATTGCCAATTGCAAGCTCTTTGAATAAGCTTTTCAACGAGCCGTCAGTGGGCAGCAGAGGATCATTACTTTTTCGTTAGTCGATCGATTAGTTGTGGGGGTACAAATGCATAAAGTCGGCGTAGCAAATACGATTATTTTATAAAAAATAAAAATCGCATGGAAAGGGATGTCATTGGTATAATTGAGATACCGGCATAATCGAATTGTTACCATGAACACGAGCTTAAACTGTGATAATGACATAACAATTGGCGGTTTCTAGATTGTAAAAAGGTAGAAATAAAATCTATTTCATTGTTTCACTTAAGCTCGGCGGGCCATTTTAAATCGTTACGCGGGCCGGAGTTGGCCCGCGGTTTGGGAACCCCTGGATTAGACGAAGACTGCGGAGAGTGGGAGGACGGCGGTCGGAGGAAGTGAGAGCAGGCGGCAGAACGTAATGTACGAAATTGAGCAAACACACATGATATTTGAAAACATTTATTATTGTATCATCGTCTATTCACTGAATTTCGATAGCAAGACAGTGTATGTACCCGCGGGAAAAAACTGGCCAATGGGCGCGGCTGCCTTCGAATACGATGAAAAAAAATGAAATAAACTTAAATTGTTTTTAACGGCGGCGCTAGTATATTTGCGAAGAACGATATTCGAGGGTCGCGATATTCTGAATTGGACACCCCTTCTTCAAGCACTGCATTAAATCAACCTAAAATAAACGAATATCACTACACACATTTTTTAAGTTTTCGGTTTTTAGTTAGGCTTTCCGTGTGTAGAAAATTTTACGTTGGCCGACGCAATATTTTTACGAGAAAAATTTTCGTAAGTTGGATTTTCCGTATTCATAGCCTTTCGTAGATAGAGTTTCTTAGTGCATCCCGTGGCTTCACCCAGTTGTATCTGCCCTCCCCGTGTAATAAAGGTTACACACCCCTCAGATATAGCATCGGCATAAACGTGAGAGGCCGTGGTTCGCTATATTATTAATTCATCTTATCAGCTTGCTTCTCTCCTGGGATAAATATGTGAATCCCATCCTGAGTACCGGTAAATAAAAATGTCAAATATTATTACAGCGCTCCCAAATTCGCAGTTAACACAAACGTCCATCGGAGGGCGTGTTCTCGCACTACGCTGGTTAGGAACGGAGACCGATTTTCTGAGATTTTTAATCTGCAATATACCGGTCAGCCGGTACCGTTTCTCAAAAGCGAAGTTGATTTCAATTGAGATAAATATGTCGCCGGATGAGAACAGAAGGGGTCTAAGTCACATTTTTTAACATTTCACTTTTTCCAATATTTACAATCAATAATAAAAATTTTAGCTGGACTTACTGACTTAGGTCCTTAATATTTTCTAGAAGTTAGAAACAGAATGGGCCAAAGTCCTTTTTGGGGGGGAAAAACATAAAAAAAATATTGATTACAAAGATATTCTCATCCACACATAACCAGAGATCAGGTCTTTACTAAGTGTAAATATCTAGATATTCAAAAAAAGAAATTCAAAATGGTTTTTTGCGTTTTGCTCAAAACTCAAAATTGTGACTTAAACTTGCCTGTTCTGTTCTCATCCGGCGATGTGTTTTCTTGACTATAATGATTGTTAGGCAGTTATTGGTACGTAACAGATTGTGTGTGAATTGTTTTAACTCGCACAGTTTGCCAAATAATAGTCGTGTTTCAGAGACAAATAATGTGTTCGATTTATTGAACTATATTTTGGGACATTTTGAAATCAAGAGAACTGTGTCCTACTAGGTTCCATATTTCAATCATCAGATAATGTTAACAGGTTAAAATAGACTTCTATTATGAAATAATGCCTCAATTTAAAAGCAAGTGCGGTAGCGTATCACACAGATGCTGATAGCAGACACAACTTTTGGTATCGTGGAATTCTTATTGGGTTTCTTTTGCTGACTTGAACTTCTCCAAGATTTGCATCAACCAATTTTCTACAATATTTCATTCCCTTGGATATTGCTTGGACCCCGGCATACGTGCTTTCGAATTAATTCTCTCTTCATTTAAAAATGGTGACAATTTTTTACGAATGCATGAGTGGAATATTCAGTTCCTCATGTTATTTTGTGATCTATGGATTTTTGGTTTACGTCACAATTCCGCTGATTTTCAAGATTTATCCAAAAATCGTCTTTGAAAGATTATTTCTTAACAGAGTCTGCCCACCTGTATGGTTGCTGAAGCTGAACAAACCAGACAAAGTAAGACTTTCTACAAGACGTTTGTATGAGTGAGTGCTTCTGAATGAGTGCCCATAACTTTGCTCAGAGATGAGTCTCCTTATCTGAGTGAGTGCGAGTAACTCTGCTCAGAGAAACGTCTCCTTTACTTTTGAGTGAGTACCCGTAACTTTGCTCAGCTATTAGTCTCTTTTACTTCTGAGTAAGTGCACTTAATAACTCCGATCAGTAATATGTCCCTTCACTTATGAGTAAATGCACTAAACCTTGCTTCAACCAGATACCCTTATTATAGTGATCAATTCCTAACTCTAAATTCTCTTCTTTTACTTCAGGCCTACAATCTTAAAGAGAGCAAGAACTGTTATGTGAAGTCTTCGAGTGGAAGTACTTTAGGCGTTTGGCATATTCCGCCAGTCACTCAGTACGATACTCCAGAGGTCAAATCAGGGTCATTACAAGACGCTGAGAAAATCATCATTTATTGCCATGGCAACTCGTTTCATCGTGGTTTCAAGCATCGAAGAGATTTATATTCAGAGCTGCAGAAATCAGGTATGAATAATATGGTCGAATTCTTTTTGTCAAACTCAAAGGTACTCGGAGCCGCAACATTTACTCTAATGTCAGTGGCTATTAAAACTACCGAAAACCACTTCTGATGCAATAATTCAGTTTCTGACAAAATAAAAATAACTTGAAATTAAAAAGAAAAAGTTTGTTGAGACATAATTGAATCACTTTGATGCGACCTATTGTTCCGCTCACGACTTATATCTGTTGTCATGTGTAATTAGTGAGTAGTAATAGACTTTATGTCTCCGACTTTCATTGAATCCCCACGGCTTCTAACATAAAACAGCTGTTGCCACTTTGATTCATGGGAGCCAGAGCTCCGAAAACAGAGAGTCGCATGCTGCTGATCGCTGGTCTACCCTGACTAATTGTGAGACAGCGTTGGTAAATTAGTTAGAACTAGAATATTGCATCATAAGTGGTTTTTCGATAGTTCTAATAGTATCTGACATTAGAGTACATGTTGCGGCTCGAGTAGGTTTGAGTTTGGCATAAATGTTACATTTTATGAACAATATATACAGTGTTACAAAAGTGAAAAACAATAAGCCTCGTGCCAAAACTACATTTAATCCCAATCTCAACAAATTCCTATTTTTCGCTAGAACATCAAAATTTGGTTTTATTTCAGTTGTGGCAGCATCAGGCAGGCCAGATTGAATAACCCAACGGGCCAGATTTGGCTTGCGTAGTTTGCCCATGCCAGGTGTAGACGATGCCATATGGCTCTTTTGATGCCAAAGGTTGCCAAATCGTGGCCTAGGCCAGGGCTACTCAGCTATTTGTTTAAAATTATTTGGGTCCGGTCTTTACAGAAATTGTGTTTCGGCATCCTTAAACGCACACTTCCTCGGCCGGCTAATGATTATTAGCAAATCAAGATTGTTTATTATGATGTAAGGTATTTTCATATATATTCGAAACTATAAAATTCATTTTATAAAAGAAAACTTCAAAAGTGGGGCTAATGATCCAAAATAAAGAATTAGGTGCGGTCCGAATCAAATACTCGAAAAGTCCGGATTCGGACCGCGGTCCGCCAGTTGAGTAGCCCTGGCCTAGACATGTCAGTGGACATAACGATCGCTTCAATATTATGTTGTTGTTTTTCGTCATCATTATCATAAAAAAATCGTTTTTTTCTTCGAATACTGGACCAGTTGCTTTGAAATTTTCAGTGGTTAATAAAGATTGATATTTTTACCAGAAGGCTATTACGGTACTTTTATTTATTCCTAAATTTTCTATGGATCTTATGAGATCTAATATTTCATCCAAAATTGTGCTGTATTACTTTTTAATTATGGGAACACGGTTTTTAATCCGCCAAGCGTGACGGCTGACTGTGAAAATTCTTGCGACTGAAAACTCGGAAGTATTTTGAGGTTACGGTATCAATAACGTCAAAGGTAAGGACTGCATCGCTCTGGTCCACGTGTCCATATATTTGAGCGTTGCTCTCCTGTTGTATCAATCTGCTCATTCACACAAATAAAATCTTTTTCATTTTCACCAAGGATTCCACATCATAGCTTTTGACTACAGTGGATTTGCGGACTCTACCGGTCAGCCGAGCCCAACAAGAGTCGTGGAGGATGCAATTAGCGTGTATAAGTGGACGGTCAAGCAGGTTGGATTATGTTTTATCATATTTGTCACTGCTTAATCATATGGCGAATATCAGCAAAGCAGAGGTACACCATATATAAATTGTATATAAGCACAGTTTAAACTAAAAAAAAAAAGTTCCCAAACTAAAGGGTCGGCTTATATGCGCCTCACTCTAATCACACTAAATTTCGGCTTTATAAGCGCATAACCCTGATCGTGCGGGGGTCAACTTATACATTCATAACACAGTTGCCTGTCAATAGGGAATTCCCCTTTATGTTATTCCCCTGATTACCAAGTTATAAAAATCGAATCAGTAATTGTCAAATTTCTGACACTTAATGTATTTAATCACTCAGCTCCAGAAAGAAGATGTGACAATCGTGCTTTGGGGTCATTCACTCGGCACTTACATCAGCACGAGGGCGCTATCGCTCATGTACGACCAGAAAGATGGCACTCGACTCCCTGACTGTCTGATACTTGAAGCTCCGTTCACGAATACATATGATGCCGCAGACTGCTTCCCACTATCTAAGGTGAAATTTATATTTTGTTTCATTTCAGTACTCCCGTAGCATGTGAACCAAGATGGCGGACATCTGAACGAAGTATGTGTACCAGGTTAGGTTTAGGCAATGATTTCAGGTACAAATACTACAAAGTCACTTGGCTAGTCCCCGAACTCGTAATAGAACTAAAATAAGGAAAATTGGAATAAAATTATGGACTTACCCTAACCTGGTACACATACTACGTACTGGTGTCCGCCATCTTGGTACACATACTACGGGAGTATGTTCATTTCAATGATGTGATATAGTATTATACGATGCTTATTAACGCTTTTTCTACGTGCAAGGCCAGGCATCAGTATCAACAGATACTCGTATCTAACGATATGCAAGCATATACTATCTTTTGGAAGGGCTGAAATCTTTCCAGTTTGGTCCTTGTTAACAGAATTCTGTTAATTTTTGCGAACACTTATTACTAGTTGCTGATCACTCTTTGGGGACCTCTGTACTATGCCATTGTGGTAGTGCGCCAAGACTTTTGAATTGAATAACATCTAAAAATTCTATTTATTACATCTCTCTTCCAGTATTTCTATCTGCTCTATCCCTTCATGAGGTCTCAGGTTCACAAGAATATCAAACAATATGACGTAGAGCTCAGGACGGAGAAGTATCTGCCGACAATAAAGGCTCCTGTTATGATTCTACATGCTAAAGATGATCAGAGGTATGTAGGCAGAAATAATTGAAAGGTATGGCTTGCCAGTTGGTGTATCGTTCTAACCGAATTAACACGCTTTTGTGGCGCCCTTCAAGAGGTTCAAAACATGTTATTTATGAGAATATGGCTTGCGGAACTGTTTACTGTCGTAAGATGGTTCATGTAACCTCCATCATCAAGTTATGTCTCGTAAATTCATCATCATCTAACATTTACAATATTTACTGGTACGGTCTTACAGTACGGTATTTAATATAAGTTTATTTTGACTCCTCAGCATAACAAGCAATATAATGCCCTAATTGTCAGATTGATTAAAACAAAATAAATAACCGATTAGCTCCGTGCATCAAGTCCAAGGAGGGGGGAGAAGCGGTCGCCCCAATTTTCTTGTCCCCAAAAGTATAATAAAATGTCATCCATGCATTGGAAAACAAATAACTGGCTAAACAATCCCATAACCGACAAGGACTGGTAATCGGACGAGAGGCCGCGGTTCGCTATATGATTACGCTGTCCTAGCGGCTTTTCTCTCTCCCGGGATAAATATGTAAATCCTACCCTTTACTCTCTATTGATATCTCTTCAGAATTTCCCATGTTTGAAGCAAGCCAGGGTCTGTAAAAGGGTACTCCCGTAGTATGTGTACCAGGTTAGGGCACAATTTCATTCTGATTTTCTTACTTTAGTTCTATTACGTGTTCGGAGACTGTTTGTGTCAGCCAAGTAAATATATCCCCTGCCCATAGGTTTCAGTCCCTTTACACAACTTGATGTCAAGTAGATGAACAAAATTAGTTACCTCCATTTTGGTACACATACTTCTGGAGCGCTTCCCAAAGACACACTTATTCATGTCTTAGCTAGCATGGTCAACTTCGTTACACGTCTCTCAAATCAAGTCAAACGATTTCCAATGACTCTGGCTTTGATTACAAGAAAACTGGGCACCCTTTGACACATTTCTGGAGCGCCCTGTAAAAGCAATATTTGCATGGTGTTGATGCAACATTAATGCAAAGTTTAGTTGGTAGGCCTATTAGCTTCGCTTCCTAATCGATTCGGATTCGCTTTCTTTTGAAATAGAAAAATCCAATTCTCAAACCAAAGTATTCCTTTCCTTACAGAATCGACATTCAACTCGGTGAGACTCTGTACGAAAAGACGACCTCTGACCCCATGTCAAAATCTCCTTACATTCGTTTCATTCGAATGCACGAGGATTACGGAGTGAAACACTACACTGCTAAGCATCCTGAGATAAGGCAGTTAGTGCATGATTTCATGGCTGAGGTCAAAGGTGATCAGGAACAAGGAAGTAAAAATAGATTTGAATTGATCGATATTTAATTTTTCATTTTATTTGTTTAATTAGGCAATAAATATAAATGCTTTCGTCGAGTAGCAAAGATCAAAGGTTACCAGGAACTAAAACTGATTAAAGTTTTATTTTTTTTACTAACCTTCATTTTGTTAATGAGACGACGATTAGAGGCAAATTGAACTTGCATTCCTTGAATTACGACAAGTGATACATGGGCTCGTTTTTGTTAAGTAAACCCCCGGCATTGATTTTTTCTGAATCACTTAGAATAGGGGTGGGCAAACTGCGATCCACGGGCCAGTTATGGCTGTCCGAAGTGTTTCAGTCGGCCTGTTATGCTATATATTTGTGAATCGACTGTTTCTTATTTGTAGTTTTGAGCCTCTGGCCCAGTAACCAAGTATTATCTGTAACAGGCCCACTTAGAAAAGTAATTTCCTACCCCTTACTTAGAATATCATTTTATATTGGTCCATCTCAAGTAACCTAATTATTCATAGACTTTTTTTGGTACTCCCAAAGTCTGTGAACCAAGATGGTCGACACCGGAACGTAGTATGTGTATCAGGTTAGAGTTGGGCCATATTTCAAGTACAAGTACTACGGGAGTCACTTGGCTAGTCCCTGAACTCGTAATAGAACTAAAATAAGAAAAATTGGAATAAAATTATGGCCTAACCCTAACCTGCTACACCAACTACAATCCGGTGTTCGCCATCTTGGTTCACATACTTCGGGAGTACCCTATTTTTCTGTGAAGTTACAAAGGACAACTACTGTTAACGCCCAGCATTATAACCGTTCTTGTTCATTCAACTCTTCCCAATTTTCATGCTGAGATTTTATAGTCTGTATTTCTATAATTGAAAGTATTTCAACATAACTTTATTAATTGATTGTAGTTTATATTCTCATTCTTACTGTTTATTTATTACTCAAGATGCCAATGATCAGAATTAGCAAGTTACAAATATGCTCGAAATAGAGCCGAATCACTCAACCAAAGTAGAAAGAGTTCTGATAGAATGGTTGCAAGTTTTCTCAAAGCAAGGTCCTGAGCCCTCAACTAAAACCCGAGTACTCAACTTTTGTTTTGAACAAGACTCTTAATACTTAATTGGCTAAATTTGACCAAGGTAGCGTTAACTCAGATGTGACATAATAGATAATGCCTTATTTTGGTTACCGCCTAGTTGCCACATTTCGATACTCTCTTATTAATATGTTTGCCAAGGCTCAAATTTGTGGGGCAAATTTCCAATCTACATAAATACTAATCAACCTCTTCACAGGCTCCATAACGCCAAAAGTTTTGAGAACCCCTGGTTTAACAAATTGCTCTTTGTGCGACAGAGGTCGTTTATAACTGTTTTTATATCTTTTATAACTCAGCCCCTTGCTTTAAGCATACTTGTATAGAAATAATAAAATCATCTATTTTCATGGTCAAATATGGAGTATCATTCACAGTTATACTATACTAAACTTGAAAACAATTATTCATGTCTTAGCGGGCATGGCCAACTTCGTTACACATCTTTCAAATCAAATCAAACGATCCTCAATGACTCTGGCTTTGATCAAGAGAAACCGTTGACTTGGATGCTAAGTGTTATTAAATATTTTTTACTTCTGAGTGAGTGCCTCACATTTGCTCAGAGATAAGTTTTTTCTACCTCTGAGTGAGTGCTCGTAACTTTGCTCAGAGATGAGTCTTTTTTACTTCTGAATGAGTGCTAGTAAGTAGTAACTTCGCTCAGTGATGAGTATCTTTTACTAGTGAGTGCCCGAGTCTTCTTTACTTATGAGTGAGTGCCCGTAACTTTGTTCTGAGATGAGTCTCCATTGTAGTTGACGTATATACCCTTCCTTGAGCAAATTCACTTAATAAACGATAGGCTATGCTGTTACGTACTATTGAGCAAATTTATTTTAATTTTAAGATGTATATTCCCCTATGCACTGTATATATATGTTTAAATATGCAATTATTTTATCGGAATTGAATTTTTTTATAACAATGCTACCTCAATGCATTTAATCCACTGAGACAAATAAACTTTGCTTTACAGTGCAGTATTATTTTCCGAGCTACTGAGCTTAAGGGTGTTTTTGATGTTGAAGACTGACTTCGGATCTAGGTTTTCAGGGATGTCCAAAATGAATTGAATGGTTGTATGCATCGAGACTGGTTGTATTCGATTTAGTAAATTTTAGGAAGAATTTGGAATATTTCACTTGTAAATGTCTTCTACAGCATGCATTATTTTATGACGAACATAACTCACAGAAAAAAATAGTTGACTTCTGAAAGAATAAAATGGAGAATACTTATTAAATCAATGTTCATATCCGTTACGCTGCATAACCAAATTCGAAGTGTATGAATTTCTCCTGTGAAACAGACCCATTTCAGAATACATTTATTATTTCATAATGCATTCGGTTTTGGCCATCCCTTGGTATTTCTAGACGGAAATAGGGCAAGACTCAAGAGTATGATTTTGAAGTTCCTTTTGAGTCAGACTTTTTATTGGTGGTAATCGAAGTCAAAGTACTTGCCAACCCAAAAAGTTGAGAAGTTAAGGAGGGCGTCCATGTTGAGAGACAAAAACCACGGATGGATAAACATAGAAAATATGCAAAAAAAGTTGTTGGCTCAGAAAACCAAAAAAAATGAAATTTAATTCTGATTTTGTTACATTACATACACTGGCAATACAGTCATTCGAAACAAAGTTTTCAATGATTGAAAGTAGGATTTCGATGCTTTTGTGGGACGTGTAGATGTGACGCTGTAGAAATATTGAAGATGAGACAAGAGTGTGGATTTTTGTCAGTGTGGATCTTATCTGCTTTTACAAAGAATTTTATGTCACAAAACTATTTCCACATATTTCACCAGTCTGGACTGCGCATATGCTGCTACAAATTAAATAATCTTGTGGCAACTGTTTTATGCAATTCAAATACAATCAAAATTCATACAAGAAAAAGGTTATATATTTGTGAAACGTGTGGAGAGTGTTTGGTAGATAAAATGAAGTTGAATATACTTGTTAACGCTGATCCATATTATTCATGGATACTATATATCCATATATAATTTCTGTTTCAGAACTTGATTCTACATAATCATTTTCATATCTCTTGAGAGAGTAACATTTACACACAGTGTAAATTCTCATGTTTTCAAAATGTTTGGAGTCTTTTCACATTAGTATGGTTCTTCGCCAGTATAACCTCTCCTATTGTGTTTAAAGTTACCAGATGTTGCAACGCTATTTTCACATATTTCGCAAGAGTCTATTACGATACGGTGTGTGATGCCTCTGTGAATTCTGGATACTCCTGTATGTATATAGCATCCATCGCTCCATGCACCGATAAATCAACGATTAGCTACCTATAGGAATAAAGTTTTGAATTAACATAAATTATACACGTTGAATTAGTTGGCCATTGAATGGTGAGATATATTTATCATTTTGAGATTGTATGAATAATGTTCACCAGCCGAGACTCCATATTTATATTGAGGAAGAGTGATAATTAAGATACGTTCTATGTCTTTTGTTTTGAGCAATTCAGAAAAATCGACTACAACAAAATACTTGTATCGAATTCAAAATGCCAAATTGTATGCTATTTCTATTCACAGTGATCCAGTAAATGATTTTGGAAATATGAGAATTAATCAGAGGAGCCTTGACCATTGGACAAACGCGCACTATAAGAACATGTCCAGAATTCATGCTAGAGAAAAGTCAAAATGAATCCCAGATGCCTAATCTTATACTATTTTATTTACAGTGATTTATTAAACGGTAGAACACTCAGTCATATTTTGGGATACTCACAATATTAAATTGTTACGATATATTACAAATGAACAGACACTACTAAACAGAGCAAGTATATGAACTAACCCGTGCATTAGCAAAAACACATTCCTGTAAATCATATGGCAAATGTTTCAGTAATTTGCATAGACATATTCATGTTACTGAATTGAATAGACATACAGGAGAGAAGCTATTTCATAGCAACATATATGGAAAAAGATTTGCAGCAGCATGTAATTTCAAAATCCATATTCGAGAGTAAACTGATAGAAATCTATACTATTTTAGAATATGTGGAAAGTGTTTCTTAGTTGCAAAAACTTTGAAAAGTCATGCACAAACTGACACTGCAAAAAAACATATATTTGTGGATATTGTGGCAAATGCTTATAATTCAATCTGGAAAAAGTCATGAATTGTGAAATATGTGGAAAGTTTAAAAACATGTGCAAACTCACACTGGAGAAAAGCCATACATTTGTTATTCATGTGGCAAGTGTAATAATTTAGATTGACATATGCAATGTCATATATTCTACTGAAATAATTTGATCTGGTGATAATTAATATTCAATATTTTACCATTACAGAACACTTTCAAATCAAATCCAAAATGTCGAATTCTTATGTTTTTTTATTTACAGTGATTAAGTAAATTGTGTGTGGACACTTAGAACACACAAGTTTCAAACTGATGAAACGCTATAATCTTACGAAATATGTAGGAATTGTTTCTCAACTGCAAGAAGTTTGAAAAGACACACACAAAGACACAATCGCTTACATTCTTGTAAACCTTGTGGCAAACATTCTGTGAAATCCAATAATTCGTAGGATTAGAGTGAACAGCCATATATGTGTGGAATATGTGGAAAATAATTTGTAGCTGCCAGGAAGTCAAAAAAAGAAGTTCATACTGTAGAAATCCACATTCTTGTTATTAATCATGTGTTCTGAGAGTTTCAGTAGTTTGATAGGTATTTCAGTAGATATATGTCATAAAATTGATGTGAACTATGCTGGACGAGCTATAACAAAAATGCATTGCAAACTATTTTCATAAATTTTACAAAACTATGATTTTTTCCTTTGTAGACTATCATATGCCTATTCAAATTATATTTGAAGTATGCTAATTCGCCAAAATGTTCATACACGCCCGACTCTACGTAATATTTCTCACATCTATCTTGCATTGTGTGAACTCTCATATATTTCACAAGAGTGTGGAATTGCTAAAGTAGGGTCAAGGTCATGTAATTTTCTGTCCGACGTCCGGCGACCAATAGGAATGAAGTTTCCATCACATACTCATTGAATTAGTTGACCATCCATGGAATTTGTAATGTGTTAATTCACTCTTACAGAAACATGCCGAATCCATTTAGTTTCTATCTACAGTGATCAAACCCACGCTAGGGAAAAGTCATATTTTGGTATATCATGTGGCAAATGTGTTTTACATGTTCCAGTACTTTAAATATACATATGAATATTCATACAGAAGACAAGCCAGCATATGTGGAAAGTTATTAACAACAACGTTGAAAAACACACCCAAACTCCAACTGAATAATTTTTTTTTCTATTGGAATATATGGAAAGTTTGATAGCTTTAATAATTTGAACAGGCACACACAAACATACACCTGGGAAACTCCATATTCTTGTAAGTCTTGGGCCAAACGTTTTGTGTAATCCAATATTTTTAACGACCACAATTCATACCAGAGAAAAGCCTTCTATTTGTGAAATATATGTTGAACGCAGTGGCGCCG